CTATCCTTCTTATTTGTTTTATTTTGTGGATTTGGTGGCTGCAGGTCGATCTCACCAATGAGGTGGGAAGAAGCCAATATGTCAGGTGCTAAAGTGGGAAATTGTGTGCTCCTTCCTTGCCAGAAGGATGTACTGCCTTATTCTGAGGATGCTCCAGAAAGCCTGCCAGCTACTTCTCTATCATAGTATTTGCTGCAACTAGTGAGCATTCTTTGGAGCACTCACCCTCTGGAGTCCTGCACAGAGCTAGCACCTAGCTCTGGGAAGATCCTTCCTTGAAGCCAGGCATTTTAGAAGGGATGTCCTAGGAAACTGCAGAGCTGAAGGAAAGCCTATTCATGCCTCTCCCATAATTCAGGCTACTAAGGAACATTGGAAGGCTGCAGCCAAGCCTTCCATGAAGAGCATCATAGTAAGACAGAAAGCTCTATCCATTGGTCGGAGAAGGAGCAGTCCTTACAGAAATAACACACTGCATTCCAACTGCCAGAAGGACTGGGCCTGGATAGGGTTGTGCCAAGCCATTTTCTGCAAGAGTCATCCATCCATCAACGTTAACGGCCCTTTCTATAAAAGGCTGTTAATGTTCTACATCTTTCCGTTTGTAAGACCTGAGTTTGAGCTGAATTCTGAACTTCACACCAGGAATGTTATCTTTTCTGCTACATAAACTTAGATATTCTGTGGTATAGTGGAATAGCATAAGTACTGTACATACGTGAAAATGTTTTCTTTCAGAGAGAGAGAGAGAGCGAGAGAGCTTTTCCCCAGGGCATTTATTGTGTGCTTCTCATTCCTTATGTATGGTTAGCCATCAGTTCTTTGGAAAACATCAGAACACTAGTTTTGTTTCTGTTCTGAGAGGGTATTTTGGGAAATCCTTTTTTTTAAGAGCCAGGAAAATGGTGCATGCTAAGGATGGGAAAGAAGAAAAAAGTGACAGAAATAGGATCAGAATCCTGATTGCACTTTTCAGTGACTGTTGAGTCAAAAATAACTATTATAATGACTTAGGTAAATAAATAGAATTACAAAAGAGGAGAAACAAGATATCTATTAAAGATGAAAGGAATTTCAAACTAAAATGTTGAAGGACAAATAGGGGAACATACTATTTGACCAGAAGAAAATAAAGAGAAGCTGGAAGCAATATATAGAAAAACTGTAGAAGAGACAAAAGGATGACAGACTCCCTTTGAAGAAAAATCCTATGCAATATTAGGTGAAATAAAAGCTGCTCTGAAAGCTTTTGGAAGGAACAAAGCACCCAATAGGATACCAATAGAACTAGGAAAGGAGGGAAGGAAATCCTTCATGTAACACTCTGATTGCAATGCTGCAAGTAAATCAAATGTAGATGTAGCAGAGTAATTTGTGTATGTGCACTTGTGTGCATTTAAATGTAATGTTCAAATAAGGATAATTTGATGATAAAAATAAATCTAATAAAATACATTTTGAAAAATAGTTTTGTGGCCAAACATTGCTCCAACAGCATTCTCTTTTCTGAAAAAAACCACTGTTTCCATTTTCATCTAGAAGAAACGTGATAATAGTTATAATTGTTAGGGGCGGGAATGTAGCTTGTTTTTCAGCAAAGCTTTAATAATAGGAAGCAAGTTACTGTGGATCGGCTTCCTCTCTATCCCTGTCCCCGAGTGAATGACAAAGGATAAGGGTACACCTTGCCAAAACCCCGTTCACTGCTCCGAGGATGCAGAGAGCACGTCCTGCTTTGCCTTCGGTATAACACCTTCGCGCAGCCGTTCCCATCCCGGTTGCCATCCCAGCCAGGAGTTCCAGTCCAACACTTCTGGAGGGCAGCTAGTCGAGGAAGGCTGCCATAGCACTATCTCCCCAGACAGCAAAGGAGATTTTTTTTCTCCCGTCGTTTGAGTTGCAGAACTGCGGGCGCCGTCCTCTGCATGCTTAGACCCGAAAATAAATAAACGAAACTTCTTGCTCTCCAAACATGCAGAGGATCGCGCTCTAAAAGAATCGGCCCGGCACCACGCCACCGGCCGTGTGATAGCCCTCCTCCCGCCACTCCACCGCCGATTTGTTCTGACCCATTGAAATCTCCGAGAATACGTGGCCGTGACCGTAAGCACCTAGGCGATAAGCTGGCCGTTTCCGCGCCCCCCCCCATGACGTCCAAAGCCAAAAAGACGCGCGGAGGAGGAGGAGGGAGCGGGCGGTGTCGGGAGCGCAGCGTCGCCGCCAGAAGGGGAAGGGACGCGCCTGTAGCTTCGCCCTGCGCCTGGGCGCTATGTGCCACTTCGGAGCTTGAAGTGCGGCGGCGGCGGCAGGCGGCGGCCTCTTAAGTGAGCTCTGAGCGAGATTCCCGCTTTGTTCATCCCCGTCCGTGCGGTGGGTTGAGAGGCCATCTCGTTGTTCTCCCTGCGGCGGCTGGGAAAGCGCCTCCTTTCCTGGCTCGCGTCAGTTTCCCAAGAAGTTATGACTACTCACTTCCTGCCAGTTGCTTAAACCGAAAAATGGGTTCGCATTTTCTCTCGTTCTCTTTTCTTCCTCGCTTCCCTTCCTGCGTTTCTCCGCAGCTTGCTAGCTGATGTTCCCTCTTCTGTAATTTCGCTTCTTCTTCGTGGTCTCTGTGCATCACGCGTACGGGCTCTGCTCCTGTTGTCGGTCGAGGAACGACAGTTACAGGTAAGCAACCGGCCTTTCTGGAACGAGCCACTCTTCTTCTCAGTTGTAAGAGGTTGTATGTATCTCACTTTGAGACGTTAATCCTTCAACACAGAAGCTTGCACTTGTTCTTCTTTCAGTTGTATCTATATGCCACTAAGATATGTTAAGATATCTGAAGGTGCTTTTTGTAATGTAGGTCTCTTTGGTAAGTCTTTTTGGCATGTGGACACACTGGACATTTTGAAAAAATGTCCTGGACGCTACTACAAATTGGCTCCTGTATTATCCTGTATTATCCACTTTGGTTCTTCTCTCCTTTCTCTTTTCTTCCCATTGTGTTCTTTGCTTCTTTCTCTCAGGTTCTCTCTCTCATGTTTCCTTCTCTCTCTAGCTATTATTTCCTTCTTTTCATCTCTCTCCCTGACTCTTCTTTCCTCCCTCCATCCCTTCCTTCTAGCTCTTCTCTGTTCCTTCCTTCTGGCTTTTCTCACTTTGGACACTTTGAAGGAGCTGACAGTGGCTGTCATACTGAGGATCACAAAAGCCAGCTGTTAAGCCACTGTTGTTTGACAGAAAGTTTCTAATTCATATTCTACCAGTTATTTTGTAAAAATAACAATAATTCTTAATTTTGTTACAGCATTTCCGACCTGCTCCAAAGTATTCTAATTAAAATGTTTTATACATTAATCTCAATTCTGACAGTGTTTTCTGGATGCTGTTTAGCAGGTAGGTTGAATCTTTTGTTAACTTTTTGTGTTTTTAGGTTGCAATATTGAGAAAACTAGCTTAGAATAAAATTGTATCAATTGCATTTACTTTGTAAATAGTAAATACAAGTAACATATGAACAATTTAAAGACTTCTCATTTTCACTTGGGTAGCATCTATTCAGGCTGGTTTGTTCATAAGGCACTGTTGTTTTTTTCAAGCACAATTACTGCAATCAAGCACTATACATCAATGCATATTATTGTGGAATAAGTAGGAGGAGCTTGAAAGGCCATGTAAACAGAGATTTTTCACTTTAAAGCGCAAACATGTGCCCCATCTTGCATTCCTAGTGCTTGCATTCTGGTAAAAGTGGGTGGGACAGATGCAAAGTGCAGGGCTTTCCAAGCATTGCTTAATTGTATACAGACCAGCAAAAGTTTTTAATCAACAAAAAGAGGGTTTTGTTTTTTTTAAACTGCAGCAGTTACTTAAAGTGTGCCTTAGGCTCCCCTCTCCCCTTTACCAAAAAGTATTTTCTGCTCCCCTCTACACACTGATATGAAAGCCAATGGACCCTCCTCTCTAAAATAGTTTTCTTTTGTCCTGCTTGGAGCCTGCATTACTGCGGAGTAAACACCACTGAAGTTGATATGACTAACTTCTGACTAGACATATGAGTACTTTTATGAAACACAGAAATTAAAAGAAAGACTGGGGAATTCGACAATGTTGTTTTTTCCTTTAAAGGGAGCAGGAAGATGAAGGAAAGCAGCCCTGATTTTATTCTTGATTCACGGGGCATGTCAGTGAGGGAGGAGGAAGGGAAGTGCTTCAAGGGGAGGGAGGCAGCAAAGCTTTTCTTCTTATTGAAGTAGCTATTATTTTGTTTGTACGACTGCAAAGGCGTTTGGTCAGCGATTTCATCTTTTATATTACATTACATTACTAGTCTGCTTTTTTTCTGCTTGTGAGGAACCTAGTGTAGCATAGCTTCATTTTATCCTCACAACGACAACCCTGTGTGATCGGTTAGGGTTGAGAGTGAATAAGTGGCCTAAAGTCACCCAGTGAACTTCATGACTGAACAGGGACTAGAACCTGGATAAGAACATACGAAATGACATACTGGATGAGACTAAAGGTCCATCTAGACCTGCACACAGTGGGAAACCAGCTGTCCATAGAATCTCTCAAGCCAGATGGGTGCAAGACCTCCTGCCCACACTCCTCAACAACTGGTGTATGTAAGCATGCAGCCTCTGGAAAAGGAGGTAGCACCTAGCCAGCAAGGCTAGTAGCTTAAAGCCCTCAACGGCTTGGGACCTGGTTATCTAAAGGAGCGCTTGCATCCATATATGCCCTCCCGCCCCCTGAGATCGGCAGAGGAGGTCCTTCTCTGGGAGCCCTCTGTGAAGGATATTAGGAGGGTGAGTACTCGGAGGAGGGCCTTCTCTGTGGTGGCGCCCCACCTATGGAATGCGCTTCCCAGAGAGGTCTGCCTGGTGCCATCGTTATTTGCTTTTTGGCACCAGGCCAAGACCTTTTTATTTAAATGATATTTTAATTGTTAATTGTTGTTTTTATTTATTGGTTTTAAACTATTGCCGAGATGCTCCGAATTTTTAATGTTATTCTATCTTATGTTGTTTATTTTCTTTGTAAGCCGCCCCGAGGCTTTCTGCGATGGGGGTGGCATAAAAATGCTATAAATAGATAGATAGATAGATAGATAGATAGATAGATAGATAGATAGTAGCTACTGATAATCTGCTCCTCCATAAATCTGACCAATCCCCTTTTAAAGCAATCCAAATTGGTGGCCATCACCACTTCCCACAACAGCAAATTCCATAATTTTACTATTTGATGTGTGAAGAAGTGCTTCCTTTTATCTGTCTTAAACCTTCCACCCATCAGCTTCATAAGAAGATCCCAGGTTTTAGTGTTATGGGAGGGGGGTAATCTTTCCCTCTCCACTTTCTCTACACCATGAATTATTTTAAATGTCTCTATCATGTCTCCCCTTAACTTGCCTTTTTTCTGAGCCGCACAGTTTCAGTTGTGGTACCCACTCCTCACAGGAGAGTTGCTCCAAACCCTTAATAATTTTTATTGCCTTTCTCTGTACTTTTTCTAACCCAGTAATGTACTTTTTCAGGTAAGGCAACCAGCACTGAACACAATATTCTAAGTATGGTTGTACTAAAGATTTGTATATGAGTAGTAAGATTTTATCAGTTCAATTATCTATTCTGTTCCTAATCATGCCTGGCATGGAGTATGACTTTTTTATAGCAGCTGTGCACTGAGAGAACATTTTCATTGAGCTGTCAATCACTACCCCAAGATCCCTTTCTTGTTCAATCACTGCCACCTCAGATCCCATCATTGTATACTTGAAGTTGGGATTTTTATGGCCCAACATGCATTACTTTACATTTGCTTACACTGAGCTGCATTAGCCATTTTGATGGCCTTTCTCTCATCTTGGAGACATCCCTTTGGAATGCCTCACAATCCCTTTTGGTTTTTAGCCACCCTAAATAGTTTGGTGTCATCAGCAAATGTGATCAATTAATTGCTTATTCTTAATTCCAAATCATTTGTAAATAGGTTGAAAAGCATTGGTCCTAATACATAACCCTGTGGGACTCTACTATTTACATCTCTCCATTGGGAGAAATTGCTGTTTATCCCCACTCTCTGCCTTCTGTTCTTTCTCCAGTTAGTGATCCATAAGGAGGCCCTCTCTTTTATTCCATGACTCCTTAGTTTGCTCACCAGGCTTTGGTGAGTGACAGGGTTTCTCCTGAGCCTTTTGGAAATTCAAGTACTAGATTGTCAATAGGCAAGCAGACAGGGCATTCTCAAAGAACTGCAATAGGTTAGTGAGAAAAGGACTTCCCGTTCAGAAGCCATGCTCTTTTTCAGTAGGCTTGTCCTTTTCTGTGCCTACTGACTCTATCTTTAACAATGCTTTAACCAATTTGTCCTGGTTCCCTGGGTCCCTTGTCCAACAATCTAACCACCACATCCTAACTCAAAATATTATTTTATCAAACTGGTTTTTTAGACTGAAGCACTTCCACCTCAATCTTACATTGCTGCAAGGTTAGCACACTGCAAAATTTATACTACAGGTTGTTAAAAAATAATAAAAGTAGTCTGAGGTCAACCCCAGTCTGAAGAAATCTGGAATATAAAGGGAGAAATAGAATGAGGAAGTATGGAAACTATGGCTAGTTAGCCAGGCATTACGGTGTCAGAAAAAGGGACATTCATTGGCCCTTGGCAGAATCCTAGATAAAGATTCAAAAGATTGAAGAGCCAATGTACTATAGTGCTTAGGAAGTTGGAAAGGCACTTGGAAGACCTGGTTTGTAGTCCTCACTTGGCCACGAAGCTCAATGGGAGACTGGGTCATTTACTGACTCTCAGCCTAACCTAACTCTCGATTATTGTGAGAATGCAATAGAGAGGCTGTTCATTCATGTTGCCTTGAGCTTCCTGGAGAAAAGATGCAATATAAAAGAAATACATTAATCAGAGTTGAACCAATGGGAACTTCTCTCCTAAACCTTATAGAAGGCACAGGTGTTGGATAGGTCAATATTGGGATGGGTTTTTGCTGTTCACATGGCAAAATAGCAAAGAATTAAATCTTTTCTCCCCACATGACATGGCCCCAGTGAAAACTGACCCCCCATCTGCTCTTAATTAAAAATACTGATATGGTTCTGAGTGACTTATTCACTCTGAGTGGCATTAAGAAAATAAGCATGTCTAAAGTGACTCTTAGCCTTGCATAAAGATGAAATGTAATACCTGTGGAAATATTATGCAGGAAAATGGGGAGTTTATACCATATTAATTCCAAAGCATATATGTAATATCAAAACAATGTAAAATCTCTTAAGGGGACTAGGTGGAATTATTAATTGGAGTAGTTTGTTTTTCTGTCACTAATGTGATGTGTTGTGGTTTGTGTAAAGGAAAAACAGATGAGACAAACATAGTTCAGATAAATATTCTCATATACCTTTCATTTTCTTTAATGAAAAGTATTTCGGACTTGAAAGTCTTTTATAATCTTGGAAAAAGCCTTTTTTTTGGGAACTGTAAAATTTGACTGGGTACAATAAAGTCGTGTCCACACGAATACATGAAAGATCAATTCTTTTCTTTCTCTTGAATATAGTTTTGCAAAACATCCATGAAAGCATTTCCTGCATTTATTATGAAGATAATAAGACTCTTATATGCAATTGGATTAATGGAAGAAATATAGATCCTGAAGCAAACTTCACTCTCACTACCGAAGGGTAAGTGGCTGACCATTATCAGTATATGCATGTATATTAGCGTATGTTTTCCTTTGCAGATACTCATTTTCATGGGTGAATGTAGCATGTGAACTGGGTTTCTGTCAATTACCATGATTATTGCTGGGAAAGATGCTTATAGTAACGAGTATTGTTGCCAGTAGTATTCCTGATTGCATAGTTAACATGTTGCGTGTGTCCTTGCAAACAAATACTTGGGACAGATAGACTTGCTGATTTGTAGAGTAGAAAGTCTGCCATGGATTGTTCTAGAGTATGAACCATCTTGGCCACCAGATACTCACCCAGGTCACCAAATACTCGCCAGACCACCCAGCAGATGCAAAACGGGTCATATTAAGCAATCAGTCCAGATGTCAACTCTTTCCCCATATCTAGATGGGGGACTAGAGGCAATACTAGTAACATTGGTCATAACATCAAGGGTTCATCCAGTCTCTCACTTAGCAATGTGATAAGCTGTCAGTTGCCAGTAGTACCATTCTGCATTCTATATTGGAAAAGCAGGTAAGTCTATGCAAAATAATAAATAGACACAAATTTTACATCAAAGAATAAGTGTTCAGAAATTAGTGAGAGGAGTTTGACCCTCTCAAGACACTCTGATTACTGACTATTCAAGGGAAGACTCTACATGGCACCTTTGAATTACAGATCATTAAAATTACAGATCATTAATCATTACATCAACAATATGACAATGAAATTAATAACCCAGGGAGCTTGTGAGCCCTCCCATGCTGGAAGCATTCAAGATACAGCTGGACAGGCATCTGTTAGGGTTGCTTTAACTTGGAGACCTGCTTAGAGCAGCAGATTTTGGTTAGTAAACAGTTGGGCACTTTTTCATTGCTGCTTCAGGCCTAAGTAGACTTAAAACCTGACGTGGGATACTTGTAATTTGGTTTGCCTTTGGGTTTTTTTAAACCTTCAGTTTAGCTTCAGATTGCAACTGTAAGTGGTGCTCTGGTATAACTGAAATAACATTTTGCGCCTTGTTCTGTCTTTGATCTAAGTTGTCTTTAAACTTGTGTCTGACCTTGCTATAGAACCACCAGCTCTTTGGAGGAAAGGACTGAACTTCCTCCCTGGGATTGGCACTTCTCTAATTTTCAAAGCAGTCATGTGGATCTTCCAAATAGTAAAATAAATACAGCAACAACAGTTGTATGGAATCCTAATTGATCTTACATCTAGTTTGGGCACACCATGTTTTCATCCTGTTAATTTCTATTGGAAAGAGAAACATACACTTTAAACATCCTCCACTGAAAGCTATGGGATTGAAAAGTGCAATTTTTAAAATTATTGCTAAAAATTAAGGGCCTGATTTATTTGGTACTGTTCCCCAAATTGTTTTGAGCTAGGAGGAGCTTTTCTGGGTTGTATCCTAAATATAACCTCCTTAAAGCGCAATCCTGTGCAAGTTAAACAAACAAAGTCTGTGACACCCAGGATGCCCCAGCCAGCATTGTAGGCCTCTTTCCTGTCTAAGCTAGTTTAGGATTACACCCTTAACCACTTCTGTTGCTGAGAAGCTTTACTAATTTATTATTGTCCCCTCCTCCTTTCCACTAGATGTCACTCAGGAATAAAAATAATATGCAAAAGCAGAAATGGTGCATGTTCCTTCACCAAGCCTCCACTCGCCCCGTTTTTGGTTCGAGTGAAGGTAGGCAACCAGTCAGCAGTGGAAGAGTTGAACTGTACTAAAATAAATCCGTGGAACAATTGTAAGTTAATTTACAGTTTAAAATTGAAATACAGCAACCATTGTCTGAGACTGTATGTTTGAGTAATACTAACAACAACAGCAAGTCCTTGGACAAGGTTTTTTGTCACTACAGAGCTCAGGTTTTCTGTTGCAAAGAATGCTTTTCCAACGCTTTGGTGAAAGATGTCCCTCTGCTTGCCTACCCAAAATGCTGCAGTATGTTCTGTAATATGGCATATTCATGATATGGTCCATAATTTGGTCCCTGCTATCATCCGTTAGGAAAGAGGTGGGCAACATGTGGCCTGTGGGCTTCATGCAATGTCCCCCCCCCCCCCGGATTTTAAAATTTGTGTTGGAAGTGTGACGGAGCACTACAAAGAGCTAAATTCATGCTTTTGGTGCTTTATAGCTGCTGTGGAGCATCAGTAGGGTTGCATTTAATTTGTTCTGTTCACCTATGCAGAGGTTTTTCATTTTCTCATGCCACTCATGTGTTCATTTTTAACTGTTTTTTTGGGGGAGGGGTATCCTGCTGTTTTGTGTGTCTTAATTGTGTGTCTGCAGATTTTCTCACTGGTTTTATTGACTAATTAAAAGCTATTTAAAATTGTTGTAAGACACTTTGCAGACCTTGAAGTGGAAACATATCTTATGAATATGATATAAAATAAAATATAATCACCTATTGAAGGGGTTGAGCTTCTTGAATATACCAAGGAGATGAAAAAGTACAGTTAATAGAACATTTTCATTTTTAAATGTATAAACTGTACTTTTATCTTGAAGATAATTTAAAGCCCATGTAGATAAAAGCAAAACATTCAGTATAATAAAAACAGTATAACATCAGACATTACTAGATGAAAATGAGAAGCATAAAACTCATTTCAACCAGCCTTAAAAATATGCATATTTAGATTTTTTTAAAAGTGTGTTTGTGTGTGTGGGGGGGGGCCTGAATCTGAGCAAATATGCCACAAAGTCTGCAAAGATTTTCTGTGAGCTAGTGATGAGTATATGAAAGACAACGCTCCTTTTCTGGCACTGTTGCATTGTTGCAGTGTCACTGAGTGCCACTGTACCAGCTGGGGCTAAATTTAATGCGTGCTGAGATTCTTTATTATCTCTACCTACTATGGTGCTTTGGTAAGAAAAAAATCAGTTAAGTTGCACTAGTTCACTGTGATGTGAATGCTACGTTTTGACATGGCTTGTTGTCAGAGGTACCTGCCTGTTTTGTTCACCTGATCAGTTTCAGTTGGTGGCTTTTGCAGACTCAATTTTAAAAATGTTTCGTCAGTCTCTAGTCATGGACTGCATTCTTATTAGCATAGGTTAAACCTTGTGTGGGCGCGAGTAGCTCATATGGTCCTTATGATCTAACATTCGGAGTCCTAGACAGCCTGACCCACATTCTACTTCCTCTCTGGCACGGCAGAATACCTTCTGCCACTGCCAGTGGGTTGCTTCACTGGCAGAAACCAATCCACTAGTGGAACTGGGGGGTGGGTAATTTCCCCCTTCCCTGCAGCTTCCATGTACCTTCTAAATCTATTCCTAAGGCTATTTCTCCAAAACAGATTTTTGGAGCACTCAGAGAACATGGGGAGGAAAAGATAGACAGTCCCATTATGGAACCCCCACCCCCAGCATGACACTGAATTTAATCCAGAACATGGAAAAATTGTGTATTCATCATTTGAAGGCATGTGAACTTTGTTTCTCAATTCCAGTCAAGCCCAAGCCTCCTCTGATAACTAGACTAGAAGCCGTTCCAGGGCAGAAGCAGATGCTGAGAGTTTCCTGGCAGAAGACACCTAAAAGAATACATGCTAAGTGCGAGATTCAGTACAGCTGCGTAACAAAAAATCACTCGGTAAGCTGACTCTTAACTGAATATCAATATTTATAGCTTTTTACTGGCAAGCTACAAGGCCTGTAACTAATTTTGTGACACATTCTGTGCAGCATGCTTATAATAGGCATGTTTTAAGTGGACAGACATAGCCTTTCTGAAGACATACTTTATTCTCCTTTCTATAGCTTCAGTTCTCCTAATAATGCTCATGCCTCATCTCTCTTGGTGATATTCTGATGAGGTTCCCATCCTTGAAATAGTGACATTTCAGATATAAGCACCTTGTTTTCTTGTTTGGCACAGATTCACAATCAACCCAGGACATGGCTGCCTTATGCTCAAGCCTTTTGTTATTTTAATTCCTGTTGGAACATGATTTTCTCGGGACTCCAAAGAAAGGCAGATATCTGAGATTTGGTCAAAAGAGGGAGAAATGCTGTTCATTTCCTTGGGTGGCGGGGTTGCACATTGAGAGAATGATGCCCTGAAACACTCTGCCTTCATTCCAGGATCAAAAGAAAAGTTAGTTTACCTGGCTGCATCAGGGTTCTATGCACAGTTTGGAAGAAACCTTGTGGTAAACAACCCACAGTTCACAACCTGAAAACAAAACATGGGTTTTCTTCATTGGTGAAGCATGCTTGCTAGTACAGTTGGGTTCAGAAAGCATGATAAACCATAGTTCAAAAGCAACCCACACCCAACTGTTGACTTTCTGGAGTCATACAACACACTAAGCTGTTACGGCTTCGAAGCTATGGTGGCTGAAAGCCTGCTTTTGGGTTGCCTGCAGAATCACCTCAAGAAGATATGGCTTGTTCTAGGATTTATTTAACCCTATGTGGACAGACAACGCATTAAGCCCCGAACCATATGCTTAGCCTTCTGAACCCAGATGAGATGCTAAGTCATGGTCAAGCCAAAAACTACAGAGCTGCTAGACCAAAGCAACAGAAAGCCTTGTCATTTTGCTGCTGTGGCTTTCCTTAAGTCAGGCACCTGCTGTTGCTGAAAGAGGATCATGGGGTGCAGAAGCTGGAGTAGCAGGAAGATGAGCTGCATTGCACTCCGCTTTCTTTGGCTCCGTGTCTGTGCCTCAGTGCAGCCACTGCCCAGCTGAGCAGTGGCCATGCAAGCAAAGGCAACTTGTGGCTGCTGGAAGTGCCTGAATATTTATCACATACATTTCAGCTAGGGTGGCTTATTGTGTTGTATGAACCCATATTTCCGTGATAGGTTGCAACTAAGGAAAACGAATAAAAGTGGAGACTGAGGTGTAAATCCTGGCCTTGAAAAGGAGCTAAGGAAGAGGATAGGATAGGAAGCAATGAGATAACGTTAAAGGTGCAGTGGTACCTTGGCTCACGAACTTAATCCGTTCCACGACTCTGGTCACAACCCAAATTGGTCGTGAGCCGATTCACATTTCCCCATAAGGTTCAATGTAAGTAAGGTTACCATTGTTTTTAATCACAAAAATTTGAAACAAAGATCATGGCCATCTCCCGTCCAGCCCCTGAGCACAACTGCAATTGCGCCCATCTTCCCTGCATGAACACAACCGAGATCGCGGCCATCTCCCCACACCCCCGAGCACGATCACAGCCATCCCCTCCCCCTGAGCACAAGCATGATTGCGCCCGTCTTCCCTGCATGAGCACGGCTGCAATCACAGCCATAAATGGTTGCACTCGGGTCGGGAAGATGGGTGCGATCGTGGCCATCTCCTCCCCCCACAACGAGCATCATGACTGCCATCACACCTGTGCAGGGAAGACAGGCATGATCTTGATCATCACCCGATGTGGAGTTCATGACTTGAGGAATTTATTTTTTGAAATTTCTGTTTGAGACCTGATTTGGTCGTGAACTGAGGTGTTTGTGAGCCGAAGTACCACTGTATATATGAGATATCTGAGCTGAGTGTTAAGACTGGGAAACTAGCATGAGGAACATTATAGAGGAGTGAAGCTGCTTGCAAGAAAGAAAGACAGACAGACGGGGGGGGGGGGGGGGGGAGAAAAAAAAAAAAAAACCTTTTTAAAAAACATTTTTTTTTTTTTTTTTTTAAAGGTTTTTAGCCCATTGTGTGACCCCTCTTCATC